GAAATACCTGGAGACACCATCCAAAGAAGAATGGATATTTAAAACACTAGAGTTGGTAGAAATGGAAAAAAATATCCATTATGATTGGAGGAAAATCATCAGACACATTTTTGAAAGATTTGGATCTATTTATTCAATTTCTTAAGAAGAAAGGAAGGATAAGAAGTCAAGCAGCTTTTGAGTTTTGAAGCATGAAATTCCTGTTTAGCTTTGTAAACACATGGGAAGGAATAAATGTAGAGGATACTGATCAAGAAGTACACAGAAGATACTTATTCATATTTTAGGTAGGGGGGTGCAAAAAGTCATGGGGGAGCAACAGGGTTGTGTTTTGTTAGCTGATATTGTTGTCCTGGTTTATGTCTCTTTTTTATGCTTTTTTATATGTAAACTCAATAAAACATATTTGAAAATTACCGTACACTCCCTTAGCCCACTGCTCAGATGTTTGACAGGCTAGGAGGAGCACAACTTTCTCAAACATTAAGCTGTTTGGAACTGACTCTTCCTGAATGCAGACCTCTCCATATAAATTACATTCTCCCATGTTTTACAGGTCAGCATGGAGTGTGGTTTTAACAGATAGGTCTATGTACATGGAAGACTATTCCCACATGCTGTCTTTCTCATGAAAATGGAGCTCCCAGTATGTCAGACAACTGGTTTGCAAGCTGGAGAGAGCAGTTTACATGAAGAGGGCAGTGTGTGGGGACTGTATCATTAATACTTCCTTCTCATGAAGAGTAGGGGTTGTATATGGGACAGAAAGCCAGACATATGGATTATGGGCAGGGGGATTTATGTTAAATGTGTGTGAATTTGAGAAGAGCTGTGGAGGGGTGTGTGTGACAAGGATCATGGCCAAGCCAGCTACCAGCTCAGACCATGTCCATTATTAGCTCCAACCACAACTACCAGCAGATCAAAGGTACCCGTGTCTTTAGTCTTCTAAGTGTTTCAGGCCAATTGAAGACATTAATGGAGATATTATATTCCCTTATGCAGCTACGGACAGCAATGATAAATGGAGAAACAGGTTACCTCTCAATGGATGTGAAGGTTCCGGTAGATAAAGGAGTGAGTATTCATGTTTGCTTGTTGTCTTGTCTGCTTTTAGATCCATTCAGCTTGCACAGAATAAAAAAAGTCACATAAAATTGCAAGAATAGCAATGATAATAAATTATGTGTATATTAAAATGTCAAAATGCTTATGTTTACTAAAATGGTAAAAGGTCAAGAAATCATGCCTTATGAGGAGTGCCTTAGGGAGCTTGGGTATGTTTAGCCTGGAAAAGGTTAAGAAGTTACATGAAAGCCATGTTTAAATATTTGAAAAGGTGTCATATTGAACATGGAATAAGCTTATTTTCTGCAGCTCCAGAAATTAGGACATGAGGCAATGGATTCAAACTACAGAAAAAGAAATGTTCATCTAAACATTAGGAAGCACTTCCTGATGGTAAGAGCTGTTCAACAGTGGAATATGATGCTTTGGAGTGTTGGAGATCTTTGGAGATGGCCCTTGAAGTCTCTTCCAACTATATGATTCAGTTACTTGGTACTTTCACTAGATCTAATCAGAACACATGAGTTCCTTAGGAGGGAGAGAAAAGAAATAAAAGGTAACATAAATTGGCAAAATACACTGATAGAATGATCTGCATTTGTAAAACTGGAGATTAAATTTAGGTAGTGCACAGATATAGAGTCCCAGTAAGTATTACATATATGCAGGTGCAAGGATGTCCTGGCGTTGTCACACAAACCACACACCCATCATGAGTATGCAGTTCTGCAGATCTAATTTCACACCACAGTATGGTGACAATTTTTGCCATTGCATTGTACATCAGTAGCCAAAACAGGTGTTGTCTGAAATAAAAATATCATTCCAGGCAACACATTCTCCAGTCTTAACATATCCTCCTTAATATCATTCCGTGTTTTAACATAATTATTTTGAAACAACATACAATTCATATTTGTCATAATAATTCTATTAGATCTCCTTTGGCTGTCCAAATCAAAACCTCTGGGTCAAATTGGATGGTTGTAATCTACCCTATCTTGTTTTATTATGTTATTAATGTATTAATAAACACTTTGTTATTACAATATGACCTTTGAGGGTAATTTTTATTTTATATTTAAATTAGTAGCAAGATTGCTTTTTGTTGTATGGAAGTTTTCTTTCCCCCGCAAAAAAAAAAAAATGATCTTCAGCGACATGATTCCTACTACAAACCACCCAATTTTTCTCTTGAACTGAAATCGTTCTTGCACAGTTATACTACAGTAGTTCAGAGTTATTTCTCAGAAGGCTCCACAAACACAATGCAATGTTTCCTTTCTAATTGCTGTGTGGCATTTGTAGAAACCTAATTAGCTCTCCCTTACCTACCATTAGGTCTTTGTCTCCTTCCACAGTATTGCTCTTCAGGGTTTTCTCTCTCATTATGAACTATGTTTTATATTATTTTTTAAAAATCCACTTTACGAGGTAGAAGGCTGACTCTGAGGCTGGAGAAAGACTGTTGTTTTTGTTAAGAGAGCCAAAAAAATGATTCAAGGAGAGAGACCAGTTCCCATTGTCTTATGCACACACACATAGACACACACACTCCCCCCCCCCACTATTACCTCTGATTAAGTAGATCCTGCCAGTTTTGGAAACAATACATAAATCTGTAACCCATGAGAAGACATCCCAGTGATAGTAACACTAACTCCGTTTTTGGTCAAGGCTAAAGAACTGTATATATACCTCAAAAGTATATATCTTTTAACGCAGGGGTAGGCAACCTTTTTGAGCTGGGGGCTGAGTTGTCCCTCAGACAATTGGGGGGCCGAAGCACCATAAATAAATAAATAAATAAATAAATAAATAAATAAATAAATATTTTTTAAAAACAAATTAAAAAAATTAAAAAATATGCATGCACACTCTCTCAGCCCCAGAAAAGCCATGGCAAACCCCCCCATGGAGATTTTGCCAAGAAAACCCCAAGACCAAGTAATAACAACAATTATCATGGCGGGTGACGGCAGCGGCGGTAGGACTGGCCTGGGGCCGGTCCAAAGGCCTCGGGGAGCCGCATCCGGCCCCTGGGCCTTAGGTTGCCTACCCCTGTGTGTCTACAGCTCTCTTAAAAAGACCAATAGATCAGTCTTAACTAGCCTTTTTAGCCTACACACACCCATTGCTTTTCTGAAGAGTGACATGCATTTCTTTCCAATTCTGGATCCTCCATGGATTTAATTAGCTAACTCTATATTCCTCTTCTATCACAGATAATAATTAAATTTATTTTAAAGGTTAGCAATGAATCCCACAGGAGATCCTTATTATTCCCAACTTGCATTCTCTTTCTCCTCAATGGACACATACAAATACTTCAGACTTTGTCTGCTGTCACTTTATGCTTACAAATCTTGAAGTTTCACATATGTAAAAGCTAACTCATCTTGTAACCCGCATTAATTATAGTTATTAATTAATATTTCATTAATACTGAGCATGAGATTTTGAGAAGACAGATCTAATCTTATGTGTAAATCCATGTGTACCATATAAACTATATATGCTTCGTCGTTAATATGAGTACTTAGGAAAAACAATAATAGAAAAGGATGGAGTGGGGAAAATAATTTGATGATACAAACATCCCCTCCCCATTTAATAATAGGCACAATATTATGTTTTACTATTGTCTTCAATGGCTTGTCATTATTGTGTCTGGTAAAAAAGTTACTCAGCTATTTTTAACATAAAAATACATTTTGTAGGAATTACATTTCACTTCCCATAAAAGTGCAACTTAATATTTTTAAAGCAACACAAGAGAATCTTACTTAATCCAAAATGCTTTCAGCAAACAAAATAAGATGCAAAAATTATTCATTCGTTATTACTAGAATTTCTATCTATCTTTCAGGGTAGGAAACCTTTCCAAGGCAGCTGACATACAGAGTTAACATACTGTTCAGATAAGTAATTACAGAACTAAAGTAGCAATCTAAAACACTTTCTGGCTTTCTCCACTCTTTCCCATCTGCTTTATGTTGTTTTTTAAACACATGCCAAGTGTTTTTCTCTCCCTCCTTCCTTATTTTTAATATCAGAATTTCTCAAGTCCCATTTTAACTTCACAGTAACCCAGTGAGAATGTTGTGTGTGAGAGAGGAAGGGGGGAGTATGTGCCTTCAAATCACCTATTGACTGAAAATCATAGAATTAAAGAGTTGAAAGAGGCCTCATGGGCCATTGAGGATTTCCAGCTAAAGCATCTCCAGCAGGTAGCTGTGGCGACCCTATAAATTTCACAAGGTCTTCTTAGGCAAGAAATGCTCAGAGGTGGTTTTGCCAGTACCTTCCTCTGAAATATAGTCTACAGCACCTGGTATTTATTGGCAGTCTCACATCCAAGTACTAGCCAGATCTGACCCTGCTTAGCTTGCAAGATCGGACAGGATCTGGTGCCTTTAAGGTATATCACTGAAGACGAATTGTGACCACGGCAGCCACATGCCATGCCCCCAATCCACCTTGAAGCCTCCCGAAAAAGGAGCAACAAAGATTTGCTCTTTTTTCAGGCAGCAAAAGCTGCCTTTTCCCATCCCACCTTGGCCCCATGGTGGCTTCAGGGAGTTCCAGTGGCTTGCAGCATATAAACGTCACGCCGCCGGAACATGCTGAAGATGCCCACGTCTGGGCAGCCGCATGGCTTTAAAATATTTTGGGGGCATGTCGTGTCTAAACACCATGCCCCCAAGCTTCTGAGAAGTTGGCTTTTAGAGCCAATCTGTTCCAGCTCTTTGTGAGAATGGTTTTGTTGTTGTGTGCCTTCAAGTTGCTTCCAATTTATGGTGACCCTGAGGCCTCTTCCAACTCTATAAGGTTTTCTTGGCAAGATTTGTACCGGGAGGGGGGTTGCCTTTTGCCTTCCCTGAGGCTGAGAGAATGTGATTTGCCCAAGGTCACCCAGTGGTTTTCAGTAGTGAAGCAGGGAATTGAACCTTGATCTTCAAATTCATAGTCTAACACCCAAACCATTAAACCACTCTGGCTCTTAGTGAGAATGGTCATTCTTCCCAGGTTCACTTATTGAACAGAGATCCAAAGTCAGAACTCTCCAGGTCTATCTATCTTAGGAAGAAGACAACTAAACTCAAGCAAGGGAAGGAGGTGTCTTTGGTACTCTTCTTATTTACTCTTCATATCTGTGCCCCACATCTGGTATCATTCCAGAAAGTCTATAGAATAGCCTTTTTGAGACCATAAGGAGCTGCAGACAAGAAGGTGGAAAAGCCATGTTATCATCCTGCCTTTGTACATTCTCCTGCTTACTCAAGCCTAAAATTTATTAAGAAAACTTACAAAGACCATTGCAATCCACATGATATTTAGGAGAATTTTAATTATAAAATCAGCCCTCCATATTCGTACATTCTTTATCTGTGGATTCAACCATCCACAGCTTGAAAATACTTTTTAAAAACTCCAAAAAGTAAATCTGATTTTGCCATTTTATATAAGGGACACAATTTTACTATGCCATTTTATTTAATGGGACTTGAGCAGCCACAGACTTTGGCATCCACTGGGGGTCCTGTGGATACCAAGGACCTACTGTACTCTGTTCTCAACAATTCAGTTTTGGTAAATATTTATTGTCTGTGACTTCTGTTGTGTCATTTTCATACTGTTTTAGGAGAGTATTTCAGTATATTTTTTCTGTTGTGGCTTTATTGGTATTTGAAAGATGCATGCTGTGTGGTAGGGTAGAGATCCCAAGAGATATAAAATATTTAACAGTGATCAAAATGCAATAGACAGAATCAGATCTAGATGTGGTTGTGAGTGAGGCCAGGCCTTTTCCTTTTCCAACCCAGCAGCGTAAAATGGGGAAACCACCCAATCTGTGTGGAAGCAGCTCCCTTGAGGGCTATTGGGCTGGCCATGCTTGGCCGGTCAGTGAAGTTAGCTGAGATATTTTTGAAATGCTCAGCTGACAGCCAGGTTACAAATCTCCCCTACAGCAGCAAGCTGTCTTTGTGAAGCATGGATGCTTTTGCCTCAAGTCCCCTTGATGCCTGCTGTCACTGTGCCAGATGGATTTCCAGAACACTGGAGATTAGTGCTTAATGGGCAGAAGGAGGGGTAGGGATGGAGTGAGGGAAAGGGAGAAACAGTCTCATGTGACTGCAGCAGGAATGGGAATAGCCACAAGGACAGACTATCCTCCTGCTATCTGCCACCTTCTCTCCCATGTCTCCACCCCAACCCCATCTGTACCTCCATCTCACCCACATCTGTTGGGTGTGCAGATCTGCTACAGCCAAGTTACATGGGAGTACAATGTTTGAGGAATTAGAGCAAAACCAAGGCATATTCCACCCAGGCATGTCCCTGCTAGTTGGTCGTTCCTTTCTAAGCCTCCCTGTTTCTCCAGCGAGAAGAGTGCTGCTAGCAAACTACAGATAGTTTTGGAGTTGGTTTCTTATTGTTACAGATTATGTTACAGGAAAGGTCTCCTCAGTGAGATGAATAGCAAGTTAGTGAGTTAGTGCAAACACATTTCCTTGAATTACTGTGTGAAATACTGTACTGAGGTCCCACCTTTGTCACCTGCTACCTGCTAATCCTTCCCTGCAAGCCAAAGAAACTCACCTTGAGGAAAGGGATGGATTGACAGCAGAGGACTAGTCTGTTAATGGTTGGTGGTGGGGGACAAAAGAAGGTCATCTTGGGCAAGAAATATATTTTCCTGCAAGGAGTGATACATTTGCACTTTGTTGTTGTTAACTGCCCTTGAGTTGACTTTGACTCATGGTGACCCTGTGGATGAGACTCCAAGATTTCCTATCCTCAACTGCCCTGCTCAGGTCCTGTAGGCTCAGGATTAATCAAATCTAGCCATCTGGTGTGTAGTCTTCCTCTCTTTCTACTGCCCTCTACCTTTCCCATCATCATTTTTTTCCTAATGATTCATGCCTTCTCATGATCATAGAATCATAG